TTGTATAGCAATGAGGGTCTCCCTTCATTTCCATGCAATTTCCCTTTTCTCTCCCTTTCCCTCCCATCTCATGTCTCTGTTTAATGTTAATCTTTTCTTCCTGCTCTTCCTCCCTGCTAGAGAGAGTGAGAGATGGAGAGAAAGAGAGAATTTTAATATTTATTTTTTAGTTTTCAATGGACACAACATCTTTGTATGTGGTGCTGAGGATCGAACCCGGGCTGCACGCATGCCAGGCGAGCGCGCTACTGCTTGAGCCACATTCCCAGCCCTAGTTGTAGAGTTTTTAAAAATTATTTTTAAACATTTTTGACCACAATCCTCAGTTACAAATTGTGTGTGTGTGTGCGTGTGTGTAAAACAAGTTTTGTGGGACAATACTTATGTTTGTTGTATTTTTCTATTCCAGATATTATAGTTTTATTAAAAAACACACCAAACTGGCTTTTTACCCTCAAAGTGGATTTTATTAACCATGAATAAGTAATGGCCTGTGAGATTAATAAAACAAATACCACCATAATATTCTAATATTGTCTGGGGAACCAGACCAACTCTTAGGCTTACTCTATAATTATACTTTATAAGATGTATATATCATTATAGATACAGAGCAAAAGAAAATGTGGGAAAGCATAATAATCCACATTTACTGAGTATCTGCCATGTGCTAAAGCACCATGCTAGGTTCTGAAGACACAGAATTGAGCAATTCTTGTGCTAATTTACTCCTTTATAAAAGCAAGAAGAGGTTATTTGCCTAGTATATGTGTGCTTTGCATAATTTATTAAATGACATTTTTACATAGGGGTGATATTTTGAAGATTATATTAAGCAAGAGAAGCAAAAAGTAAAGTAAAAACAGAACTAGAGGAAGATGAGACTTCCCTTCTTCTCTCCTCCCACTTCTTGGGTCAATAGGTCAGAAAGAGTCTAGAAAAGACTAGACAGAATCCCTTAACAAATTTGTAACAAAAACTTAATCTTTTAGGATAGAGTATGTTTTAATAAAGTGTTCATTTTTCTTTTTAGCAGATAATTCAATGATGAATAATATTGGCTATTTCCCAACTTGAGTCCTTGCTGCTTACAGCTAAATGGTTGATTGTCAATTCCTCTTGCCCCTTACCTAGACCCTGTCCCAAAATATAAAATTAGAAGAATTGGGGATATAGCTCAATGACAGAGCACCACTGGATTCAGTCCCCAGTACAACAAATAAAATCTTTCCAAATATATGGAACTCTTGTGTCACATATCTCCACACAGATTCATAATTATATTCCATAAATCTTCTCAATTCTTTGAAATCTAGGGTCCCCTCTTAAAGCTGGCCTAGAAGAGAGAAAGCCTGCACAGTAACTTGTTGCCATCTGTTAGTATGCTAGAGTGGGAAAATGTGGGTTTTATCCCCAGTTCTACCTTAACTAGCTTTGTATTCTAGGGCAGGTTGTGAAGATATGTCTCAGCTTCCTTCCCATCTGTGATTGAACCAAGTATTCCCCAAGGACCCATGGAGCTCTGTGCCGAGTCTGTGTTCTAAAGCTTTCCGTTTTAAAAAATGCAATCAAAGTAAAAAACTCTAACTGATCCTTACATGTGCTGACAAAAATAATAAAAGATTTGATATAAGGAATAATGCTCTCTGTGCACGTTTTAATTTCTTTCTGTTTCAGTTATGATTTTAGAATCATTGTCAGTTCATCCTCTGGAGATTTTGGCGGGCATTTGGATGTTTGGGTGACAGCTGAACATTGTATTGCATCAGAAAACCTTTGTGCTTCGTTTAGAATCTTTATGATATATAAAAGCATGATAGCCACATGAAAGTACTCTGGTAGTTCTGGTTTTTCTTCATTATGAAAAAATTTAATAAGATGGAAAAATTAAAGCTATTAATGAGATATTTTTATATGAAATTAATGTATCTGTTGAGTAAAAAAGAAATTTGGGAAAGGATTAGAAACAGAATGTAATGCCAGTATGTCATGATGTCACAAGTAGGGTAGATAGACTGGACATCTGGAATCTTGTGAAAAGGAACAAACTAAAGGACACATTTTTACTTCATGTTACATCATTCTTACATTTGTGAGAAAGTTCACTTAAACTTCTTTTGAACCCACCTTGACTTTTCTTAAAATTGTTAGAATGTTTGATTCACGGGAGATTATTGTTGGTATCTGAGGCTATTTTTTTAAAGCACAATACTGATCTTTAGTCATTTCTCCAGTGTCAACCCCAAGATATATGGAATCATTCGATTTTTCTGAGTGGTTATTGATCTGTTTCATCTGCCAGAGTGTAGCCTAGACAAGTGACCTCTTTTCTCAAATAATACAGTTTTGTGCTCTGCTTTTACACATCTTTTATTATTGACATAAATATTTTAAAATTAAGTCCTTTCTCTACCATATATCTCTCAAATTCTACTGAGTCTCAAGAATTTATGTGTAATAACCAGTTTAGCAATCAGTTTTCTCTTTAACATGAACATTTTTGAAAGTGGTCTATCTTTATTGTATACATTGTTAGTTCTTTGAGGTTTAGGGTAGATTTACCAAATGAATTTGTCTATTCTTTCCTCAACAGGGTTAGTCATCTCATTTTAGTGGAGCCTTGGGGTTTTCCTGAGCGACCAGACCTTGCTGATCAAGACAGACCAATTCCAGTTTGGATCAGAGCCCTGGGAGCAGCATTGACCCCCTTTAACCCTTTAGCTGGCCTCAGGATTGCAGGACCCTTTGGTGAGTGCTCATATTCCAGGAAAGCAGAAGGTTTATAGATTAGCAGTTTAAGAGGCAGATGCTCTCTGCTTGTAGTGGGGCTGGCAGAGATGATATAGAGTATCAACTGCGCCATAAAATTGTTGGTGGAGTAGGGTAATTCTTTTGGAGATAGGAAGGAAGGAAGGAAGAGTCACTAAAGAAACAAAACCTTGCCAGAATAGTGGGTGTTGGTATAGAGAGAGAAACTAGCCAGGGGCTAGGCCCCAGAAGGAAAGGCTGTGGTTGGAAGAGGCATCTGCTCTTCAGCCTTTATCCCTGGGGCCTTGCCTCTGCTTCACTCCTCAAGAGGAGTGTGGCATCAGGAATGACCTCAGCAGGGAGTGTTACAGTGTTCCAAACAGAAATTCTTTTGAGTTTATTTTCCCACAGAAATATTTGTGTATCCCACTTCACTTGGTGCAAATGCTGGTGTGTTGTAATCCTGAAGGGGATACAAGTTAGTAAGTTAATTTTATGTACCAACTGCTCTGTTCATTGGTCATGTTCAAAGAATTCATTTTCCTACAAAAACAAGTCCTAGAAAACTAACGTATGTGTTCTTGAGCTCCTAAAGTGCATCTGTAAGTCAATATACAGCACTCTTTGATTCTTATTTTAAACTTCCCTTAGGGAAATTGAGGAGAACAACTGCCAGGAAATGTGCTTTTTCCCACCTAAAATATGTATTTGAACACACGTAGATGTGTATACACATAACACTTATTATATGAGCAAGCACTAAAACTTTCTATATTATTTAGTTATAAGTTATAACTTAAAATATACATGTTTTTATTTCTTATTAAATAGGTTTAAGCCTAGTTCAGCGGTTAAGGCCTGATTTCAAACGGAAGTATTCTTCAATGTTTGAAGATGACACTGTGACAGAATACATCTACCACTGTAATGTACAGACTCCAAGGTAAGGTTAAATTCTAAATTTACTTGTGTGTGCAAACTTTTTTGTTTTTGAAGTTTTCCTTTTAAATTTATTTAAATAAATTTAAAAGGAAAAATGTCTAATACTTCTTAATTACTCATATATTAATAGAGTGCCCACTATATAAAACATTGTTCTGAGTTCTGATGGGGGATTAAAAAAAAAATAAGATGTACTTTCTTTCCCTAAAGTGCTTTTTTGCATAAGTTGAAGAAGCCTCAATCTTAGAAATCCTCCATTTTAGGAGGTGGTTGGGTTGGGAATTAAGAAAGCTAAAAAAAATATTTCCCAAATAGTATAAATGTTCAACCAGAAAAAGGAGTGCTGTTTAAACAAAAGTAAATGGTCTCCTGCACCATGGATCTTCTTAGAAACTTTACTATACCTGAGGGTATTGAACTTCCCAAGTTCATGGGAAATGCTGTGTAGGAGTTTAAGTTCACTTGATGATTGCACCCTTTACTGAGCAACTCTTAACATCTGCACATCAGCATGAGAAACAAGGCTGCAATTGGTAAGGACTGAGTGAGGGTTGGGTGGAGGGAAGGAGGGATTCTGCCTGTATATTGATAGTGATGAGAGAAAATATACAAGTGTGTGCATAGTAGCAAGAGAAAACAGGGGGCCAAACATCTTTTTTATAACATATGACTTATGGATGAATGTTGGGTGCAGGGTTCCAGTGGAGAAAGTAATCTAAAGATAATGGAGAGATAGGAAGACAAAGCTCTAGAGTTTGTAGAATGGAGTATAAAGAGAAGAATACAATTCTTGTACTTTATGGTATACCGATTATTGGGGGAGCCCATTTTTAAGATTGAGCAATTCTGGGCTACATCTTAAACAGATACCTCAGGCAGTTTCTTGTATAGGTTGGTCATGAACCACACTTTCACAGACATGCTACCTCTTTTTTTTTTTTTTTTTTCCTAAAACTAAGAACTGGACAGAAGGCTGAGAGGCTAGATGTAGAAACATCCTCCTTCCTTTTTTATCCTCTCTCACTTTCGGAAGAAAATATGACCACCTGCTTCATTGAACAGAGTGAGGCCTTGGCAGCTATTGGTAGTTGTAGTCTCAGTCTTTTCAATAAAGAAGATTAGAATTTCTCTGCCAAGAGTGAGGGAGACTGGAGGTTTGGAATCCTCAAAAAATTGAGTTTTTGTGACTCACTAGGCTGTCAGGTCTGGTGATTAAAGTCTATACATTTTATTGACTTGTTACAGCAGTTTTTAGGGGGCTGTTCAGGAACATTGATTGGTTTTCCTATGTGAGCTTGGGGTTTTAGGCTGTACCCCTTCTCATTTCATGATTACATGTGCCTGTGTAGTCCTCATTTGTTGTCTTTCTTATGATGTAACTTGGTTTGTAAAAGGTAATTCAGAACAATGCTGAGTCCTTTAAGAATGACAGAAATGACCAGGCATGGTGGTGCATGCCTATAATCCCAGCAACACAGGAGGCTGAGATAGGAGGATTGTGAGTTTAAAGTCAACCTCAGCAACTTAGCAAGGCCCTAAGCAACTCAGTGAGACCCTATCTCTAAATAAAATATAAAAAAGGGCCAGGGATGTGGCTTGGTGGTTAAGCACCTCTGAGTTCAATCCTTGATTTAAAAAAGAATGACAGAAATGGACGTATCATGGGAGTTAGCAAGAATATGTTCTTTATTTAACTGTGATATTTCTGAGATTTTTATTAAATGCTGGAGAAGCTAAATGTGGATGTGCTTTGATAGAGGTGAGACTGAGAAGCATATTCATCTCTAAAAGTTAAGCAATGTGGTTTTTTCTTTCCCCTTAAAGTGGTGAAACAGCTTTCAAGAATATGACTATTCCCTATGGATGGGCAAAAAGGCCAATGCTTCAGCGAATTGGTAAAATGCACCCTGACATTCCAGTTTCAGTGATCTTTGGCGCCCGATCCTGCATAGATGGCAATTCTGGCACCAGCATCCAATCATTACGACCACATTCGTATGTGAAGACAATAGTAAGTGTGTGGCTTGGTTTTTAGTTTTTAGTTATAGGTGAAATCTGTTTGATGTTCTCCCTTAAATAAGATTTTGGATCATAATGATTTCACAAGTTTCACAAGCAAACTGTACCTGCAGCCTCAATCAGAGACTGATCTCACATGTGAGATCTTCTTGTCCCAACAGTGAATTACCTTTCTTGAGGGGCTTTCTGGTCTCTATAGAGAGACTAAAAGAAACACTGGTCCAGTAGCATCTCTGCTAACTCACACCCTCAAGACAGAACATTCTCCTTTTGTTCTGTTTCTCTGTTGGCTCATTCACTAGTGGTCAATTTAGAGTGCGGTTTTTGTTTTTGTTTTTTTTCTGGGGGGAGGGTGGATATTAAAATTTTATTAAGATTAAATAGATTTTTCTATTTACTTTTAAATCTTTTGGATGGCAATACTTGATAGTTAACCATAGCTCAGTCTTGCTTATTCTTTTACCTTATTTTTTTAATGTAGTGAGTCTCACGTTTATTTTTAAGCTTCCTTGCTTAAATATCACTGTGTTTTAATAAATGCTTGTACACACTGACCATGACTGCTTTTCTTTCCCCAGGCTATTCTTGGGGCAGGGCATTATGTATATGCAGATCAACCAGAAGAGTTCAACCAGAAAGTAAAGGAGATCTGCAGCTTGGTGGACTGAACACACTGAAGCCTTTGTAAGAACACCTGTTGACTGATAGAATTCTTGAGCAATAATCTACAGTACGATGAAGATTGAGGAATGCAACCCAAGAACCAGGCAGTCTCCTTGACTGCATCTTGCACATTTCTTTTTAAAGCCATTTGCACATTTAAACCCGTTAGTGCCTTCTAGAAGAATGACTTTCCTTTCTCCTACACAAAATTGAAATACACAAGAGACTCAAAATTTAATGGCTTTAAATAAAAGGTTATTTATCCCTCTGTACTGAAAATCTGTAATTTTTCAATTAAGATTTTTTTCATTTTTACCTAACTTTGCTGGTCAGGTACTTTTAATATTACAGTCTATCTTACAAATTTAAAGAAGTGGTTTCTGGGTCTGTTATGTTATATACTATAAAAGTACACTTGATTTTCTTTGTCTGATTGTATTTACCACATCTAATAACTGATATAATTAATTCAAATTCAATTTATTTTTTATGTAAAAATGTGTCAGTTGTTTAGACTACTTCATCTGATTTTTAAATGGTGTGACAAGTGCTGGATATGTAGCTCAGTGGTAGAGAGCTTGCCTAATATACAGGAGGCCCTGGGTTCAAACCCTAGCACAGAAAAATAATTATAATAATGATATTCTAAAGATTAAATGGAGGGCTGGGGATGTGGCTCAAGCGGTAGCGCGCTCGCCTGGCATGCGTGCGGCCTGGGTTCAAATCCTTAGCACCATGTACAAAGATGTTGTCTCTGCTGTAAACTAAAAAATAAATATTAAAAAAAAAAGATTAAATGGAGTGACAAAATAGGTTTTTAGTTAAAAGTATGGGATTTAATCACTAGCATTAATTTTTTAGTTTTCCTCTGTTTTATATTTAAAGCTGCAAACCCCATTTTTGGCATTTTAAATGTGATACAAACTGCAACAGCATCACTCCTGGGAACCTTCTATGTATGACACTGTTCTGTACTTTTAAGGAAGAATGACATTAATGCTTAAGGGATTCAAATACTGAAAAACCTTAACCAAAAATCCAGCCCTTTCTCCTCCCATTAATGTTATTCTTTTCCTGGAACCAGGGTGCAGCAACTAGAACAGATTTCCTCACTTCAGGGGAGTTTAGAATTGTTACCTTCCAGTAAGCTATGTCGTATCATATTTTCATGAACATCTCCTCTTTAGATGGGTGCTAAAACTGGATTGCATTTTTACCACTAAAATAAAAAAAAAAATGGGTGCTGCTATTGTCTCATGGCACCAAAACGAGCTCACAGTTGGGTTTGGTTTTTATTGAGTATTGTGTTGATTAAATCATTGCAGACTTGAATTTATATTGCGAAAAATCTATAACATTGATTATACTATTTGACAGTAACTACCATCAAGTGTGGCACTGTCTTGTAGTTTTAAAATGAGTTTTAAAACTTTGAAACTGTGAAAAAGCTCCATGTGCTAACTGGCTGCTGAGAAAATCCTCAACAAAATAAAAGTGAGTAAATTGTCACCAATAAGGCATCTTTGCCTTATGTTTTGCTAACATTGTTGTCTAGGAGAAAGGCAGGCTATGTAAATAAAGACAGTGAACTAGAACAAATAATGGTTTGGGTTATTGTATTTTTTAAATGGTTAATTAGGGAATTTGTAGTCATTAGGAAATGTAAGATTGTATACTGTTGATAAACTGCCAGTGGACTGAAAATTATGTTTTCAATATTATTTCCCCTGTAAAATAACTACACAGAAGATGGAAACAACTTCCCAATGAACCATTTGTCTCACTCATCAGATTAACTAGGTTAGTTCAATATGACAACATGAAAGCTAGGGTGAGTTTCTCTACCTTAAGAACAAAAATAGCCTTCACTTTTTAGTCAGTTCTCAAATTAAAACCTGACATTAGTACAAATAACTTGAGTAATATGCCAGTTTCTCTCATAGAAGGTTTTTGTCCAAGGAACTTGGTCCCACAACTTGAAGGAAAATTCCTTGGTTCACTTACTAAGTGGGGTTTCTGGCTACAGATGTGCCAAGTGATTCAGGAAAAATATACTCAAGTGTCTGGTGAAGTTTACTACTGACTGAACTTTCTTCATTTGAAAACCTTGGGGTACAGTATATCTAATTCTGTAAAGATTGTACTAGCAGAGAAGGTCACAAACTAGAATTCTTTAAAATACTGTGGGTGCTAAATGTTTTTCTTTTTAAAAAATCTTTTTCAATGTTTGATCTTTGCTAAGTTATGCACATTGTATTTTATTCTATAGAATAAATTTTACTATGATAGTTGCAATAAGACAGCTGTATGTTTCCTTGAGTGTTTATCGTGGGCCATTCCTTGACCTTTGATCCACTGAGCGTTCTGTAAACGCTGTTATCCTGAGGGAAGGCTACTCTAGTGTGCAAGTGTCATGGCTTACGTGTGGTTTTTCACATGTTCCCATGTTTTCTAAAGATAATTTCTGTTTTGTTTTGTTTTTTTCCTTCCCCTTGGTCTCCTAAAACTAAAAAAAAAAAAAAAAACTTACCTAGGCTTGGTTTCAGAATATTAGAGAGCATTTTTGAAATATGTTCATTTTTTTAAAATATATATATTTAAATGGCCATACCAGAACAGGAAGTTTTTGTCCTGTACCATGCTATTGGAAAGAAGAAACAAGAATAACCAGAAGAACTCTAGAAAAGCATAATGAATATTAGATATTATTTTATAAACAAAGTCTAAGAATTTAGTATTGGATAAAGGTAGCATCTCAATTGTGGAGGAAAACACTTAAAAATGGTGTTGAGGCAAGTATGGCTAACCATGTAGGAAAAAAATTAAATGCATTTCTTTATTGTACACAAGAATAAAATCTGGATGGATCAATGACCCTATTGCAAGAATGAAAACCTTTGGCCAAAATAAGTAAATTCAAGATAAAAAATGAAGTGACTAAGGTATTTGTAACATTCATGACAAAAAAACTCCAGTTAAGGAATTTTTATACTTTGGAAAGAAGCTGAAAGAATAAGCAAAAGCTATAAATAAATAGACAATAGGCAGAAAATAAAGTGCTGCAGATGACCTTTAAATATATGAAGATATACATCATAAGAGAAGTGCCAATCAAAACTACCAAGACACTATTTCTTGTCAGATTGGGGAAAACCAAGTTAGGTGATACATTCTATTGTGAGATGGAGAAAACAGGCACTCTGAAAAGTATAAATTCCTGTGGGTAGAATTTTTTTAATGATTAATAATTAAATGAGTTTATCCTTCAACCTAAAGGCAATTCTAAAACTCCACATGAACTTCACTGGTAAGAATTTGAAACACTATTGATGACAGCTAAGGACTGGAAGCCACCCTCATCCCCATTGAGAGGGTAGTGATGGAAGCATCATGGTATGTCCATAAAGGGGAATACGGTACATCTGTAAAAAGGAGTGAGGGCTGATTCCCAGAACACAGGAAATGAAAAACAGACTAGGACATGGTGTGCTACCTGTTACATAAGAAAGGAGTGATAACTGGGGAAGAAAAAAAAGCAAATGTATTTTTTGCTCCTATCAATAGAAGTTTTAGTTACACCAATAACTAATCAGACAATTCCCTTGGTAGTCCTGGAAGGGAGATAACAAGGATGACCACTAGAGCTGTGTATCTTTTAGATTCTGTCAGTGTTTTATGTTCCTTTTTAAAAAAATGTTAAAGCAACTCTTTAAAAACTATCAAGTTGGTAGTATAGCCACATGTAGACAAGTATGTCAAGTGACTTTAAATCCCAGCATTTTGCCTATATTCCTATGAAGTATATCCTACACACCAAAGAACCACAAAGAAATCTTAAATTTCATTCAGTACTTTTATAGCAACAATATTGTTCTTGATACTGTGTGTGAGAGTATATCTGATAAAGCAACTGTTTACTATGTTAGTGGAATCAAGAGCCTGAAGAGAAGAAATGCAAGAATTCAATCAATACTACAAAAAACAATACAAGAAACCTGTAGTTTTATATTTGAATTGAAATGCAAGTAAAATCTGTAATTTCTTTTTTGAAAAACAAGCAAATGTCCACTGAAAAAAAGTCTGGAAGTAATTCCACCCCAATAGGAAGGTGTACCCTAGCACTTAAAGTAACCCACTAAAAGGAGGGAGAAGATGAGAAGTGACAGAAACCAAGAAACAGAATAAGTAAGATCACATCAGAAGGACCCAGTGGCTAACTTGATAGTGCTCACCTTTGAAAGCAAGTAGGGTACCCACTCAATGTTTAAAAATTGCTAATTGGAAAAAAACAAGTATCTATTCTGACTTTTTTGTGTATCCAGTTTAACCTGCTAAGAAAAGTTCTTCATGTAAGAATCCAAACTAAGCTGGACATTTTGGTGTATGCCTGTAGTCCCAGCTACTCAGGAGGCTGAGATGGGAGGATCACTTGAGCCTATAAACCAATCTGAGCAACATAGCATGACCCTGTCTCAGAAAGAACAAAAGAATCATCATTAAGTACCAGAGGAATGATAGGATTAGGAAGACATCATTTTTCCACCTGTAATGAAATAATGGATCTAGGCAGTTAACAGTATTAGATGAAAAGTTGAGGGGGGGGCGCATTTTATTGCTTGGCTCTGTTTGGTAACATTTGAACTCAGGGATGAATCTTAACATTACTAAAAGAGGAACAAGCAGACATCAGATGTCCTGCTTTGTTGTTCCACCAAGAACCTAACACTGCCAGGAAAAATTATTGCCCCAAACAAATTTGCACACAAATCTAGTTAAGCCTCTATGTCTAGCCAGTTTGTAAAAACACCAGAGATTTAGGAATGCATTAAACAGCATGCTAACTCCAGAAGGTGAGAAATTCCACAGAATAAATAATCCAGTTTCTTCAGAAAATTGAAGGTATAAAATAAAAGTGATGATGGAATTCTAAGATCAGAGAAACTTTTTAAAGGATCTTGTTTGTATCCCCATTTGAATGAGACAAAATGACATTTTTGAAACAAAAGTTTAAGATGGACTAGGTATCAGATGATATTGAGGAATTATTAATTTTGTTAAGTGAAATAATGGTATGATGGCTTTGTTAAAAAGCCTTTACCTCTCTGAGATACATACTAAAGTATATGTAGTTGAAATTATGACTGGGATTTACCTGAAAATAACCCAGACCGGAAATGCAGTGGGCAGGAAATAGATAAAATGAGCAGAATGTTCTGCTGATGCCGGGGATAGACACACAGGGGTTTGTGTGTCTACTTTGATGCATGTTAAAGAATTTCCATTGCTGAGGCGATGGCACAACACCTGTAATCCCTGCATCTTGAGAGTCTGAGGCAAGAGGCTCACGAGTTCAAAGCCAGCCTCAGCAACTTAGGCCCTAAGCAACTCAATGAGGCCCTGTATCTAAGTAAAATATTAAAAGGGCTGGGGATGTGGCTCATTGGTTAAGTGCCCCTGGGTTCAAGCCATGGTACCCCAAAGAAAAAAAAATTTCCATAATATGAATTTACAGAATAAAAGAATGGGAAGAGAGAT